AGAGAGAGAGAGAGAGACGCGTCGATGTTTTATAGGTCTTATGAATGACCGACAATCTGACAAAACGCATTCGGCAGATTGGTCATTCCTGACGTCTCTTTGAGGTGTTAGAAATGCCAGAAAAATATTCCCGAACTCTCAAAACAAATCCGTACATTATATGTATAATGTATGGTGGGACGGTTTTTTTCGTCCAAAACCTATTATTTAGAGCCTGAAACGCGTTATACAGGCGATTTTTTCCAAAGTCACTATTTCTTTTGGAAATGGTCGGAAACAATTGTTTGCATTCCTAACGCCTCTCTGAGGTGTTAGAAGTGCCAGAAAAATTTTCCCGACCTTTCAAAACAAATCCGCACATTATATGTATATATGTATATAATGTACGGTGGGGCGGCTTTTTTCGTCCAAAACCTATGATTTAGAGCCTGAAACGCGTTAACTTCGCAAATGTCGTGTTCAATGGTCCACTGAACATGACACCTGTCTCAGGTCAGATCAGCCTTTCACAAAATGTTACTAGTGTTAGTCTTACACGCTACATTGATTCACAACAAGTGCGGCACTACTGTGCCACTATTGTTTTCAAAACACACAAAAGGACTGAGGCATACTGATCGAGTTCCCAATTTTCACAGAACGAAACGCGAAAACAACATTTTTCTTCGTACTACTACAAAGTCGGTTGTAAACCACAGCATGTTGAAAATATGGCGATGTACAAAGGAAATAGCTATGTTCAGCAAAATAAAAGCGAATTACATGTCATGACGATGTCAATTTCTGGAATATTTCGACATTAGACCACGGGTATATCCCGATGGCTTGTGGTACATGTGGGAAATAACCGTACGACAAGAAAAAATTCCTCGATATTGCTGATCAAAGGTAGGTGAGAGTCATTTTGAGAGTGAGCTGACAACAACAGGTGTAGAACGAGGATGATAAAATGGCGACCGGAGAAGACTTAATTATATTAGCACAGTAAACCAGACCAATATAATATAATAAAATGGGCTTAGTAAATCGAAGATTCAGTTGACCATGGGGACAGTGACCACCAGATTTAGTGGTCATCTGTCTGTCTGTCAGCAACTATTAAATCGCCTTAGTTACAACCAAGTGCACTTGTTAACAGTGCTTTTAAACAATCAGTAGAGGCTAACGTTTGAATGATTCATGTAGCTACAAGCCCAATTTTTACGAGTAAACCGTAATTATTGGTCTGTCGTTGCAATGTTTATTTGGTTAGCGAAGGGGGCCTGACTGACCAATACACCCTGGAGAGTACTATGTTCAAAATATTGTATTTGACTGATGTTATACCTGATCATGGCGATACCTTACGTGCCTACTTTTTGGAAAACAGCCAACACTCGCTACCATACATAAACCAGTGACGTCGGTTGTTATTGTTATTCAGGCAAGGGTCACGCATGCGCCCTGTTACCAAGTGGCACACGAAAACATAACAACGGTATCTGTTGTCACTTCCCTTTCGTTAGGCTACTTCGTGTGTTGTGTTGATTTTTTTTCAATATCAACGATTCGTAAGAAACGCAACATGGCCTACGACTGCATAGACAGGGGAATAAGTCGTCTTTTTGCCCTGTACGGAGGCTTCCTGGCACGGCACCCCCTCCCCTTCCTTGTTCTGCCCGTCCTGTTGGCAGGTGGACTGGGAGCGGGAATGTATTTTATGGTGTCAGATTCGTCCGTGGAAGGATTGTACACACCCGATAATGGACGGGGGAAAACAGAGCGCGCTGAGGCCGAACAGCACTTCCCTGTCAATGACTCGGAAGCTTTTCAGCCTTCCAGAATTATTACGCTCGGTAGATCGGCCAGCGTCATCGTGACGAGTAAAGGACTCGACGACGTTTTGAGGATTTCTGTTCTGCGAGAGGTCCTGTCACTCTACAGCAACATTTCCGGACTAGAGGCACAAGTGTCTGGAACAAACTACACATTTGCGGACTTGTGTGCCACATGGCAATCTCGGTGTGTAGTCGATGGGTACCAACTTCTAAATTTCACATTGGAAAAAGATGAAAACACGACCATTGGTTACCCCTGGACAAATCTTCCTGGCGGGACTCGGCTCTTCAGTGGAGCCACCCTCGGAGGGGTAACTCTAGAGCCGGGAACGGAGGACGTCAGCACCGCAGCCGCCTTCAAACTGACCTTCTACCTACGCAGTGAAAATCCCGAAGATGACAAACTGAGCGAAGAATGGGAAAAGGCCTTTCTGTCCTACATGGACAACTTTGAATCAGACATTATCGACGTCTCTCAAACCTCGTCTCAGTCCCTTGAGGAGGAACTGTCCGAACTAACACCTCGCATCATCCCACGGTTCTCCATCACCTTCACAGTCCTCATCACCTTCTCCATTTTCTCCTGCATGATGCTGGACATGGTCCGCACCAAGCCGTGGCTGGGCATGCTCGGCGTCGTGTCGGCAGGCATGGCGGTGGTGTCCTCCATGGGGCTGTGTTTGTACTGTGGGGTCAAATTCACCAGCGTGGTGGCCTCCATGCCGTTTCTCATCATAGGTGTGTATGTAGACTGGTTTATTTGCAGAAACACATACTTCATACATACATAGTACAGTAGGTTACAAGCTTTTTGCAGCCAAAGGCTGAATTGAGAAGCTTTTACAAGTTTTTAAGAACTACATGACTAATACATAATGTATATACATAAAAAGTGCCTTGAGAGGCATTAAACACCACTTATGCGCTAGAATAATGCACATTTATGCTAAAATTACATCATACAACTTCTGTTGGCAAATTACTTAAGTACAACTGACAATAATAAAAAAGTACAATTACATCATGTGCAACAACATAAAATGAAATCTACTGTATGGCAAGGTTATTCAGTATGTTCAGCATTGTGGGGACAGGACTGCATAAATATCTTTTTGTCCCAATGGGTGGTTTGTAGCGCCGTGTTTGCCTTAGCTGCATGTTGTGTGAGTGGTTACTAACTGGGGGTGAGCAATGTATCAACTTCATTTTGTAGAAATCTCTATCAGTGCCTTAATCTTAAAAACTAATGATGGTGTTCGACCATATCGTTGTCGATGACGACCCTGACTTCAGTCAACAGTAACAGTTAATAATAACTTTATTGCAAAACAATTGTACAGGCTAGGGTACGAACTATTGCGTCTACTAATACTTAACGGCGATTTCATAACGCTAACATATCTTACACAAGATTGTATGAATGAAAGGTTTATTCGTCAAAAAACACATGGCAGCCGCAGACTGAATTTCGTGTTTTGCAACAATGACAGATTTAAAAATACGCTTAAAAGTACATACTTGACCACATTAAAAGTGATAAGGGAAGTGATTTTAAAACCTACATTATATATACAAATCGGATACAAATTGTTTAGCTACTATGGGATAGAAATGAGCTTATACAATCATTTGAGGAATTTCTAATGTCTATATGTATACCACACAGGGGTTGTCACGTGTCATTATGTACTTAAAAGTGTTCTTCAAGTCCATTGGGATAAATTCTGGAATAGAAGATGAAAGTATTGTGTATAGTGAATTGCGTATATCGACATAAAAATTATATCCGGATATACAACCACAAATTTAAAGTGATATTCGTCCGCAATTATATCTGGACAAAATAAGAATGTAGCGTTTACCTCTACCTTGTAAATATGCCTAATAATCATACATAAATTGTAAACGATATCATATACGAGAGGGGGGATAGATCCGCATTAACTTTTTTTCATTTAACAACTGCATGTTTAGACTTGATTAGTTAGTACAGTTTTTAGTACTTATAATTATTTGAGGTAAAAAAAAACGTGTTAAGCAGAAAGAATGTGGTGATTAAACGTTATTTTGTACCATTAGTTTTTTTAGGACAAAGTACCTATTATGAAATCTAGTACTGGCAAAAAAAATGAGGTAACACCCCCTCTTGCCCATTTTTACCAGTAGGTATGTCTCAATATTACTGAATTCTCTCTCTGGAAAAAGGGTACTAGCCCTTTCTTTTACCAGAGAGAGATTTTAATTTATTATTTGGTAAAAAAATGGGCTACAGGGGGTGCTAGCCCATTTTTTTTACCAGAGAGAAGTCTTGATGATTTCATTAAATCTGCTAACATGGCTGAGGCAATAAAAATCATTGCCAAGGCGACGACTGAATGATATATATTATTTCATGTGGTGGAGCTAGCAATCTACATTACAATTATCAGAAAAACATATTTCCCTATGTTATAATTATATATATAAAGACATGCACGTAGTGAAATTTACAGGCGGGGTGGAGGAGGTGTGGGGCAATATACCAAATACACGTATAGGAGGAATCAGCCGTTCTTCCCCAGCAATATAGATTTTATGATGACATAACTTACTTACTTTACTTTGGTCGAGTTCCCGCTAGAACCAAACTGAAAACCATCCTCCACTTCACTCTATCCTCCACCAGAGACTGGATTTTATGTCTGGTCTGAAGTTGTTACTCCTTTGACTTTTTTTTAACCTTTTGTGGGTTCCAAAAGGACGGATAATTTCTTTTCTCTCTGTGACCTGTTTGAATATGGTCTTTGGCCAAAGACAGCTGTGCTCTCTGCCCATGGTGTGGGGAGAAGACTGATGACCAGTAATTAATCATGCCAGGCATCTGGATGGGTGGCACGTGGGTACCCCGTGTAAGTTACCTGCTTGATCCAAAAACCACATGGCCGAAGGTTTCCTCCAAACCAATTCCCTGGGGAACGCATTCGTGCAATTTTTGAAATTCTTTCAAAGCGATCGTAGTACTTACACAAATGCCACCGCCCCAAAGGCGTCGCCAAAAATGCGTCATTGTTTGTTTGCAATCTTTAGCCCATTTCAATGCAGTTAGCACGCTTTTCCAGGACAATCTCTTTTTGGTAGTAAATAAATGGGATAAATAACCAAAGCTGTATGTTTTTACCCTGCATCCAGGTATCGGTGTGGACGACATGTTCATCATGATCGCGGCCTGGAGGAAGACCCATCCTGGAGGCAGCGTGGAGAAACGCATGGAGGAGACGTACGCGGAGGCTGCTGTCTCCATCACCATCACAACCATCACGGACGGACTGGCCTTCGGCATCGGCGCCATCACAGTGTTCCCGGCCATCCGCATTTTCTGCATCTATACTGGCGTAGCCGTACTTTTTGATTACTTCTTCCAAGTAACCTTTTTCGGCGCCTGTATGGTATATGTAGGTCGCCGTGAGAAAGCTAATCGCCACGCAGCTACCTGCATGCGGGCTGTCACTCCTAGCGAGGCCAAGGATAGGTCAGGTTGCTATCGCCTTTTCTGCACGGGAAATACATTGGCTGGAGTAAACGAGAAGGGGGAATTTTCGGGTAGCGATCATGCTATTATGACCTTTTTCAAGGATTATTTTGGGCCTTTCATCACAAAAACATGGGTAAAGGTTATAGTGATGTTGATGTTTGCCGGGTACTTAGGTTGTGCTATGTGGGGATGCCTGCAGTTAAGAGAAGGCATTCGTCTCAGTAACCTTGCTGCCGATGACTCCTATGTAGTGAGCTACAACAACAAAGACGACCAGAATTTTATGTCTTATGGCGCCAAAATTTCTGTCGGCTTTACTGATGAGCTAGAATATTGGAACACAACCGTCCAAAGCGAAATTGAAAATACTCTCAGTCTGTTTGAGGAAACGAGCTTTACTTCGGGGAAAAATGAAACAGAATCTTGGCTTCGCGATTATCTTGATTTCATTGATCAGTTCTCCAGTATCATCCCTGGTCTGAATGCCTCAAGAAAAGAACCTTTCATCACAAATCTCAAAGATCATTTTCTCACAAACGTTCATTTCAAACGGTATGAGCTCGACATTGAGTTCAACGACAACAAGAGCGAAATTCTCGCTTCACGTTTCCTCGTTCAAACGAAAGAAATTACAAATTCTGTCCGTGAAAAGGAAATGGTTATCAAGATGAGAGACCTGGCTGATCAGAGCCCTTTCCAAACCACGGTTTACCACCCTAGCTTTATTTTCTATGATCAGTACATCGCCATTCTTCCCAACACCCTGCAGAACTTGGGTATCGCCACAGCCACCATGTTCGTGGTGGCCCTTGTCCTCGTGCCCCACCCCGTCTGTTCCGTCTGGGTGACCCTGTCCATCGCGTCCATCTGTACCGGGGTGGTCGGGTACATGACCTTATGGGACGTCAATCTAGACGCCATTTCCATGATCAACATCATCATGTGTATCGGCTTTTCAGTCGACTTTTCGGCTCATATCACTTACGCCTTCGTATCCTGTAAAGAAGACAGTAGTAACGCTAGATCGGTGTTTGCCCTGTATACTTTAGGCATGCCCATCCTGCAGGGTTCCCTGTCCACAATACTGGGTGTAGCGGCCTTGTCCACTGCTCCGTCTTATATCTTCCGCACCTTTTTCAAAACGATGTTCTTGGTAATTCTGCTAGGAGCGATGCACGGACTAGTTGTTCTTCCCGTGCTGTTGACCTTCATGGGTCCAGGTGCCTGTAGGGGCAGGCAAGTTGTCAGGGAAACACCGAGTGGTCAGCACCGCAATGTTTTGATTGACGACAACATGCGAGCTTGGATAGACAGTTTGAAAAAACCCGATGGAAATAACAGCAAATCGGAGCGTCCTTCAAGTGATCAGTCCAGCAGTACCTTACCCACATCATCACAGTATACGTACAGCAATCCTTCATTCGAACCTGAACAGACGTGGAGTGGATCCGCGTTAAAGGCATGATCCAATGCAAAAACAAAAAATACTAGTATTCTGGATGAAGTAATGTGTAATATTCTTATCTACTGCCATTTCCTAGCACATTTTCGTCATCATTTCATACTAGCGTTTGAAATAGCCCAAAACAAGCTACGTGAAGAGTCCCTTTATTTTTGGATACCACGCATGAATAGCTAGAACCAGCCTAGTATTATAATACAAAACAAGCAACAATTTTCGCTCCTCTGAATGCATCTAAGAAGAATCATGATGACCTTCCTAAGATAAATTGGTCACAGTTGGCTGTCGCAGCCGGGCATTATATATAGTATGATCTAAGACTAGTAAACAACGTCGTCGACCAACTCCCGACCACAAATATCTCCATTTTTAATAGGACTATTATAGCTAACTCTAAAAAATTGTCTGGAAAAGTTAGGAAGTCTGTATGTGTTCGGCTATACGTGATAGAGACTTGAGTGGAGATTTGCATGAAATCCAACTGTACAATATGGGAACTACTGTAACAGTTTTGCTTCAGTTCGAGAGTTTTTTCCCAGTAGGAGAAAGGAGGTTTAATTAAGCTTGGTTGTAGAAACATCTGTATGTTCATGTTACTGTTGTTTTCAGGGCACGATCTAGGCTGGTGTTGTTTATTCTCCTGATGATGTGATATGACTTAGGAGGTATTTTGTGAGTCCATATCTGGTTGTATATTGTTGGCAGAAAATTAGTGATACAGAATCTCACATTCCATGTTGATACACTATCTCTTTTGCTCTACTATACCACACTAAACCAAACAAGAATGTATTAGGTGATCTTTATTTGTTTGTTTACAAACGAACATTTCCGTCTAATTCATGCCTTCGAACTTGTAACTGTTAAGTGTAGGATTATGAATGTGTACATGACTACATATAGTGAAGTGCAAGTGCAACAAAAGGACATAACAATATTATCACCGCACTGTAGTGTGTACGTGCATTTCTAACATTAGAAACATAACTAGCGCCTAGCATACGCTGAAAATATTTCCATGCATTATGAAAGTATTATTGTAAGACCTCGGTCTCGATGGGTGACCCTTACAAGTTCGTAAGATGACCGCAGATGTTGTAGATGTACGTACCCGGAACAAATGACACAGGAGCCAGAGCTACATAGTGACGTGACTGTATTCTCTCTCTCTCCGATACTCTCTCTGATACTCTCTGATACTGCCTTCACTACATGGTTACATGACTTTTTATACTCTTAGCCACCTACTTACAGGTTTCTTGGAAAAAGTGCCATCATACTTCCTGTATCAGTCCTTAGACATTAGTGGAAAATCCCTGACCATTACCAAATAAGGCAACGTCCAGCCACTGGGACCTTAGGTTCCCTGCTGTCAGGACCCCATTAGTTCTTCCCGGGTCATTAACTAGATGTCACTCAAAGATCTCTTACATTTCTCAGAACAGAGGAAAATGATTCAGTACAAGAACACGAAAGTGGTTTTCCAACCTACTGTACAAGAAACTTGTATAACCTGTGATACTTATTATTATCAATATACTACAGGCTAGGGCACCCTATTACATTATGAAAATATGTGTTTTGCCAAAGTGCCAAAAATTTAATGTTTTCAACACCGAAAATGCCAAAAGTATGCCATTTTTTGCACTGTAATTGAAATTGCAGTTTTTGTTGCAAATCTATGTATGGGAAGGGATTGTTAATGCTGTCATTTTAGCCTATATACTAGTATCATGTCCAGTTCCATTTGGTTTGGCCAAAAAGTGACGTTGATCTCTGACAGACATCCCATTGAAATCCATAAATGGATTTCAAAAATGGTGCGCTTAAAAAAAAGCGGTGGCTGTTAACAAAATCCAGAGGTGATCTTGAAAACAAGGTTGTAATCAAATATGTGAGTGGATAGCTCTTCATCATTTTCCAACCTTAATATAAAAACCTTAATATATAAATTTTCAAATGCGTTGAGTCGAAAAAAATGGCCCCACACGTGGGTCTGCATGGAGGGGCACTATTCAGTTACTGGATTATAAAATGTTCAATTCCTTGTTAATATATAACCAAATTTTACAAATTTGGTTGATTTTGTATCAATAAAAATGTGTTTGTTTACAAAATGATACTGGCCTCTGCTCTTGAGACTGCCTTTAAGAGCATTATTCCTCCTTGACAGTTTCATTTTTCGCATCAACATGATGAAGTATGACATAACATTACATCAAGTCTGGCATCTAGTGGTGCATGGATGACAATTTCACATGCATGTTTTTTTAACAGTCATCACTTCTTCAGTTTATAGTTTCATGTTTGTTTACTACATGCTACTATCACTGTGCAATAGAATATACTTCTCATCAGTTATACGAGTAAATGCTTGACTCAATGTACTTCGGCCAACCACTACTACACGTGAAAGTGGCATGTTATGCCAAAGCGGCCTCTTACGTATATACAGGTTGGACAATTAAGTTTCAGGATTGATTAGCCTCCTTTGTAGCCGTTCCGGGAGAGGTTTGTTTTGTTGTTGTTGTTGTTGTTGTTTTTTTGTTTGGGGGGGGCGCTTATTTGCAACTTGCGATTTTCTGATCAAACGTAGATCGCACGCATTATATAATTAGAAGCCCTGATCGCCAACCCTGGACGACATTCTAGAGTTGGTGATCAGGGCTCATAATGCGTGCGATCTACGTTTGATCACAGAAAATCGTGCAAGTTGCAAATAAGCGCCCCCGCTCCAAAAAAAAGCCGACCCCACCCGGAACGCCTGCCAAAGGAGGCTAATGTATTATGTAAATAGACATGTAAATATTATTTGTATTTGCGTCGGCATATCGAATTAAAGAATTGAGTGAATTGAAAGAGTTTGCTTACTCGCTTTATCCATCCATTTATTACATCCATGAAAAACAGATGTACTGTATATGGTGTGTGTGTGTGTGTGTGTGTGTGTGTGTGTGTGTGTGTGTGTGTGTGTATGTGTGTGTGTGTTTGTGTGTGTGTGTGTGTGTGTTTCCGCGAGGCCCTTAGGTCAAGTTGTTATGGATATGGCTGGGTTCAGTCTGTCCCTTTTCACATCTAGGAGCGCTCGCTGTTTTACCGGTATTTTTCGTTACATGACCTCCTTGACAGCTGGCGTCGTTTGTCTTTCACGATAAAGAAATACTTGTAGACACCACGGTGAATGAGACGAGGACACAGAGTCACCATCACACACGGTCTAAATATTTTATAGAAGTCCTCAAGTCTCCGAATTATTGTGAAGAATGTCTAGACCCGTACGGCCACCTACGTATGTCCGAGTGACGAATTGTCAACATAAATTCTGGACGGCTGCCAGGGAATTCAAGAGATACATAGCTGCTGACGATGAACTTGATCCAGGAAGGTAGCCAAGCAAGGAATACCTGCACAACAGACGGTAAATACAATAACAAAACAGTGTATATGACCGACGGACGTCATGACTTACTGAATAACAACATGTATCCAGGAGGTTGCCAAGAAAGAAATACCTGCACACAGTAGATACAAGTGGTCAGTAAAGACTCTGTCACACATTCAGAACCTTCCACCAGAACACCAGCCGACCAAGGTTGGCGCATGTTCAGGAGGCTGACTAGATCTATTTAGGCCATGGCTACCTTTGTATGCGAATCAAATGGAATTTGGGTTAAATCTGAGTCAAACTACTCGTCCGACCTACACATGTACTCCCGACTACTAACCAGACACGTGGGGTCGTGTGGCGTAGCGGCAGAGTGCGCGACTCGGAACCTGAGATCCCGGGTTCGAGTCCTGACATGCCACCGATCTTGTGCCCTTGGGAAAGGCACTGTAACACGACGCTCAGGTGAACATGACTATTGTCCTGTCATGTATTTGCCCCCTGTGTTGGTGGCGGCATTAATATAAGTTGATAAAACTTGAGTGTTCCGGCACCACGTCTGGTGTTGGAATAAAAAAATAAAAATAAAATAAATAAAAAAACAGACACATTGCCCAAACTGTCGTCCACACCCGAAAATGTGTTTGAAACATTCTCTTCGGCAGGAGCAGTCGAACAGTAACGTAAACCTGGCCGAACACCAGCTGACCTTGCTCCCAACCTACTCCTAAAATTAGCTGGGGATGGTGGGGGGTTGACAGGGTTTGGGCAGGCCACATTCGTCTAAATGTAACAGGGGCTAGCTTTAACGGAAAATGTATAGCAATAACCATACTACACCATTTTGAACCACTGACGTGAGCACTGTAACATGTAACCAGGAAGGTAGCCAAGGAAGGAATACCTGGACAGGAGACAGTATAAAATACAACTGGTTACGGTACGTAAGAAAAAAATGTATGACTGTCAACCATACTAGAGCCGTATGACCACTGACGTGGACATGGTAACATGTAACCAGGAAGGTTGCCAAGGAAGGAATTCCTAACTGCTGACGGGGACATAGATATGAGATCATATGATACCTGTTTTGCTGTCTATGAATATTGAATACCCTCTTTGAGGACAAACATAACTCGCGGTGTCCCTCCCCCAAATGTAAAAATTTCATGACGAGATCGACCGAAAATTCATGGTGAGTTTCCCTCTTGTGTTGGAACAAAGCTTGAACTCTGGATTCTACAAACACAGATGAGCTTTCATTGGGAGATTTAATGACATCCAATGCAATTTAGGGGCGGCAAAAACAACCAAACACATCACTGTGCACATATTATGTTAATTTGGATGTCATTTGCATAATCAATCATAAAATGAGATATATCTAATTTGAGTTGAGAAAACCATACATGAATTAGATCATGCTACATGTAACCATCACATTTTCATGTTTAATTAGACAAATCTAAAAACAAAATTACAAAGGCTCTAAGTATTTCCACGTTCAACATTGTAGGTATGAGATCTCCAAATTTTTGTTCCAACTGCAAGCCTTCTTTCCCCTTCTTCCACAAAGTTAAGTCCTCGCGAAAATAAGTGAATTTACAGTGCTTAGCCAGTACTTCACGCAGATGTCCATAAGGCCATGTTGATTTGATTATATGGATGACATCCACGCGCGCGGAAAAGATTTCCGACCATTCTGTAAATTACACAAGGCACCTGCAAAATAGAGCAAATATATGCCGTAAATTGCAAAAAATGATATTGGAAAACGATACTATATTACTAATTTTGCAGAATGACAAAATCGATTCAAAGGAAAAGAAAAAAATGCGAAGAAATGAAAACAAAGAGTCCTTTATTCGCCACACCATACCCGTATGTTTAGTCATTTGTTCAACCTTCATGTCGGTGTAGATTTCAGTTAGGCCACAGCAAGTAATTTTTATGGATGACATCAGCCCGCGCATTAATTTTCGCCTGATTTTGAGAAAAACAAGCAAGAAATTTTGTTGCCTTCTGACAGTGGTCAACATGCCGAAAATGGGCAAAGATGTCTGTTGCCATGCCGGAAGGTGGATGGCAGATAACTATAAAGAGAGGAAATTAAACAAGAAAAGGCTCTGATTTAATGTTTTGTTTCTTACTTTGATGCAGTGATATGTGATGCTGGCTGTGTATATGTGTTGTTCCTACTGAATCAAAACCATTTGTACAATGATTTAGTCAAAATTTTAAAATGTTAGAACCTTGTTTTTTTCGGCCCGCTTTGTTTTTTTTTTTCGTTTTTCGCCCGCTCGCTTTAGATTTGGAGTCTGCAGAGGATGTCATCCATAAAATTTACTTGCTGTGGCCTTAGTAGAATACTCTTCAATCAGTGACTGTTTTTGTAAGGTAAAAACACGTACCTCCAAATTTTCGACCTAGTCTCGCGAGAACACGAGACTAGGTCGAGACTTGTATGGATCTTCTGGCCTCCCTCGCCTCCTTGCGGAGTAGGGGTAAATAGGACTTGGGCAGCTACCAACCTTCATTTTTACCTTAGGCCACACCAAGTAAATTTTATGGATGACGTCCGCGCGCGCATTGATTTTGGCCTGTTCCTAGAAAAAAACACAAGAAATTCCGCTTCCTGTAACTATGACCAAAGAGTCACGACAGTGCCGCAAATCGTTAGATTGACGTGAACCCCGTAACGCGAAATGGGTAAAGAGCACATGCTTTGTTTCTGCAGGCCTGCAAAAATGTGATGAAAGAAACAGGACAGGACGATAACTGCTGTTCCACCTGATTTATTGCTGTTTTGATGATGAATAAGACTTCTTGCTTGTTACACTGTGTCACCTCATTCAATTTGTGTCCTAACATTTGTCGTCTCTTAGTATATTTCTAATCTAGGCATCTTGTTTTTTAGGGCCCCTCTTGTTTTTTTTTCGCCCTTTCGCATTAGATTTAGGGTCTCCAAAGGACGTCATCCATAAAATTTACTTGGTGTGGCCTTACAAAAACTCACTGATTGTTTTTAGCGTGTCTGTCTGTGTGTGTGTCCGAGGCTGTGTTTGTTTGTGTTTCCGCATATTTGTAGTCTGCATAACTTCAGAACGCCTTTATGGATTGTGATGATATTTGGTATGTTGGTAAGTCTTAGGAGGACAAAGGTCAAGGTCAAATATGGGTCTCCTGGTGGATGACCTTGGTACTGCAGCAGAACTTCCGGTTTTTGTATCTTTTGTTCTGAACATGCTATGGTCTTGACTTTTTGGTGACAGATAGCTTTTCATGTCAGGAATAAGTGGTGTGAGTTTGGTCCCCCTAGCAGCTTGTTCTGGAACTGCAGGGCACTTTCAGGCGAAATCTTTAAAAGCCAGTAAGTCCAATAGGACAACGTATTTTCATCATATTTGGTGTGTAGGTAGCTGAGAGAGAGTTGTGCATAATTAAATGCAAATTATGCAAATGAAGACTTAATTTGCATAATTAATTAGAAAATGCTATAATTACTGTAACAGTGTTTTATGTAATAGTACGTAACCTTTATACATGTGTTTCTTTTACTTTTTCTGTGACTCCTTATTGGTGAAATTATGGGACTTTTATACCTTGTGACGTGTAAGTTACTTGAAGGTTAACACCACTATGCATATATTATGTTCATGTGGATGTCATTTGCATAATTAATGAGGACATGTTGAAATGTATGACAAAGCAAGCCCATATTTCATAGAGGTATGAGATCTCTTAACTCGTTTTAATTGTAATCTTACGTGACTGATGAACTTCTTCAACGGCATAGATTTCATAATGAAGGCAACTTTTTTTGCCATCAAAAAGACCTGCATATGTAGCTGTTATCATTTTTGAGTCCTGTCAGCATATTCTTGGTTGGTATTCTACTTCGTTTCGTTGTTAGTTTCTCTTCAGAGGTGAAATGAACACAAGATAGGTCAACAATGTTGGGTAGATACATGTAGTACAGTCTCTTTTAACATGAACAGAAACTGGTGTCATGACAGGTAACATTCCATTAGGCCACAGTCGCCACACCAATTTAATTTGCTTGTTCTCTGATTTTTTTCAGAAAAAGTATGAAGCGACAGGGCGAAAAAAAAATAAAAACAGGTCTAGGCATCCTATTATAGCCCCAAATGCTTTAGTAGGAGCCATGAAGTCAACACAAAAGGCTGGAATGATATATAAACAATTTTAAACTTTTAATCAAACCACTGCATTGATAGATGGAAAAACTGTAACAGTTAGGACGAAAAGGACTTTCCTCAACTGTTGCGGGCAAAATATGAGCGTTTTTTAGTTGATTCAGGAACAAGAATCTTTTTTTTTGCAAATCAGAAAAAAATAAATGAAGGAATGAAAGACCTTCATTATACATGTGTACATTTGTGCTCTAACAAGCTAAGTACAGGTCATGGATAGACAAGGAAAAGGATACAGCAATAACACTTAAACTGTACCTACTAATGTGATCTACTATTTACATGTTCAACTTCTTCTCGCTTCATGAATAAAGAGGCGAATCCAAGAACCAACAAATTAAATTGGTCTGGCCTTAGCAATGAAATACTCCTTTGTCAATACAAAATCCAGTTGACTGCACCAACACACAGATATACTGATTATATGATGGGAAGTCAGCAAAGTCTATCCAGTGTACATATAGATACACTGTTACTCTCTAATGTCATGTACTCACAGTACATGTGGCTATCTGGACATGTACATATATATGACTGTTTTATAGCTTAACAGCTTGCAACAAATGGGTAGAATCCTGCCAAAGATACTGACATTTGCCAATGTTCTTACTCATGAAAACCAGTACAGCTCAGAAGTGAAGAGTGGTGTAGACTATAGGTCCCTATATAGCCAGCTTTCTGTTACACAGAGGGCTTGTTTCGGTACTATCAGATATCCTTAAACTTGCTGCAATTTTACCTGCATTTCTATCAACATTTACCCCTACTGACATGCCAAAATAATAAAGTAAGTTGACCCGCACGTGCGAGGGCCAAGGGAAAGATCCCTAACTAATAAACAGTCATTTTTAGGTCTTGCTCAATACATATCCAGATGTGTTAATGTCTCTGGGGTGTTCATCTTTGACATATTACCCACAATGCATCACAAACGGCATTCACCAATTTCACACATCCCATAATGCCTAGTAAAGATCACGGATATGACGTAAGACCACCCCCCTCCCCCTTCCTCGATGTAATATTTCCAACAAGTTCTATCGACAAACTGGTCAACTATTGTTTTGAATATTTATCTAGTATAAAGCGCATGCCATAATTGCATTTTTGTTGGAATTAGAGAAAATGATGTACTATCTATCGTTCCACCTTCTACCGAAGACACGGTCGCATTACGTATATCCCCTTCTTACGTCATATCCCATCCATATCCGTGACTTTTACTAGGCATTATGGGAAGTGTGAAATTGGTGAATGCACAGTCCAGACTGTGATCCAGCTTATTGCAGTTGATAGTCCTACATAGGTTCGTGTTACAGCTCGAACGCGGGGAATCGTGCCAACCCGGGATTCAGAACGTCTGCCAAGAAGTAGGCAGCTCCTGCCAGGCCTTCAAACAGCGAGAAGGGCCTGTCCGGCACGCGGCATCCATGTTTCCCGTAGTCCAGACACCACTCCGCGAACTTGACCGCTCTGTACAGGTACACCTCGTCGTTTGTCAGTCTGTACATGGACAGGAAGGCGTAGCCGTTCCCGGCAGCTCCGTGGCAGATGCCGTAACCTTTCTTCAGCAGGCCGCGCCGCCAGATGACCTCGGCACAACGTTTGGCTTCGTCCAGGTACGTCTGGTCCCGGAACACCTGGTAGGCCGCCATCAGCATGTAGATGGCTCCCGGGGCTCCGTGACACCAGTGGACCAACCTGTCCGACGTGTTCCCCAGAGAGGACGGGTAGTTTCCAGACGGGAACTGCAGCTTCCGCAGATAGTCGACGCTCGGCTTGACCAGACCGGGCAGGGCGGCCTGGGATGCGGCGGACTGAGTCTGCATGAGCTGATAGTAGATCCCCGCCATCCCGTGAGCTGCCCCCACGTAGTGCTTACCATGCCACATGTACTTCAGAGGACTGCTGGACTTCTCTTGTTTAGATAGAGCTTGTCCGGACGACACTATCGCCTGCGCTACTTTATCCACTAGCTTCTCATCCACCGCGTGATCGCCGATGTTCTTCCTAACGAACCTCAGCGCGTACAGGTAGCCTGCTCGGCCGTACAGCAGCTCGTCTGGCAGGTCTGACCGCAGGTTCAGGGCGTCAGGACCGAGCGCCTGTAACTTGGACAGACAGCTGTCCTGCGCCTCCTTAAGCCCCAGTCTGTGATACACCACGGCACCTACGGCCAGGGGACCCGCGTCTCCGCACAGGAACGTCAGCCTCTTCCGCTTCAGGTGCTTCAGTCCCGGCTGGACCCAGTCCAGCGCCTTCTTGAGATAGCCGTCATCCTTAAACACCTGCGCCAGGTGCAGGTAGAGGAGGGAGATCCCCGTGCTGCCTGTGTAGATGGAGTAGTCGTGGCCAGACTCCGATCTCTGCCCATCCTCCACCTGTTTCAGCAAGCCTGGCAGGGCTGCACGGATCCTGCCAGCTAGACCGGCGTGGAGCTTTCCATCCGGTTCTAACAACTGTACAGAGCCTGCGCTGTAGTCAGCATAGGGGTTAGGGAAACAACGTTCATCCATGGTACCTATGTACACTTAACTCTCTTCTGTTTGTACAGATGCAAACTTATCTTACAGTGATGCTACCCGCCTTGCAAAGTCATCAGTGCCAATTCTCTGAAAAGTCTTTCACGGCCTTCTCAAACGCTTCTTGTTCGAGTTTTTGGCGCATCTCTTGGTAGTGCAGGATGAAGAAAGCGACGAAGGCCACTACGAAGCTGATGGCGAATACTTTAGCTGAGGTGGACCATGGGACAGGAATGGCTGCCATGTTGTCGGGTTCAGCAGCTCGTACTCAGTCGTTCCCACGAACAGATGTTTCCGGAGCAATCGCCCTAAAACAACAGTAAGGTTGGACAAGGGTTAGGTTGATGTGGAAATGCAGACTACATGCCCGTAGCCAGGGGGGGTTCGGAAGAACCCCCCCACAAGGCTCAAAGGTCCACTTTTTATGTAAAGGTCCACTTTTTGTTCCACTTTTTATGTAAAGGTCCAAGATTTTTCTTGAAAAGATGGACTGGAATCGTAGAAAAACTGCTCCCTTTGTCATCGAATAAAAATTTATCTCTAATTTTTTCTTGGAAATCCTGTGAAAAATGCACGAAATGCCATTTTAGAAGGTTCATTTTTCAAATTTTCCGGGGGAGCATGCCCCAGGACCACCCTAGGAACCTCGCACCTTCAGCGGCGCTCGAGGTCCCCTCAAGCAGCGGGAAGAACCCCCAATGCAAAATCCTGGTTACGGGCATGGACTATGCATGATGTACAAAATGACTAATAAACTAGTCCCAATTACGTCCCAATTACTAAGTACCTAATACCAGCCCAGAAGAAAACAAAGAAATAGCCATGCCTTCAAGTACCAGAGTTATCAACCAAGGATTGCGGTGTTCAAGAATTCATTCTTTCCTGTATCGCAGAGTAGAACTCGCTGTCATCAAGTACAGTAGGGGCATTGTCATCAGAATCGCTTTAAACAATGTCTAGAGTTAGATGTTTGAGGGTTAGGTGTAACAAGTCGATCGGTGTAATGTAGCCAGCTGTCGCCGCGCCGCGTGCCTGTGAAGCTGGTGTGTTACGTCAAAAGGCAGTTATACCGGCTATACAGATACAAATACAGATGCACATTAATGTAATAATGAACAAAACTCGGCTACCAGCTTACTAACAGTGAAAATATGCGTGTAGATTTAACAAGTAAAACTGTATCTTTGTTTTAGAATTTCTATGACCCGTACCTTTTAACTCATAAGAATTCAAAGCGGCTGAATCTCATGAAAATTATGGTTGAAAGAAACAAACTACTGTACATAATGTACTACTTGCATGTCGTGATATGGTAAGGGGGAGGGGGGTTAACGTTAACGTTACATTCCAACTGAATTTACCTGAATTGTGACCTGTTCTCAGATTGATCCCCTACAGTTTTTGGATGACACAGGCACACAGTGAATCAAATGCATCGTCTTTGATAAATTGATTCTATGCATATATAACAGTTATAGCATGCATCCCTTTGTCTAAACCAGGCTAACAGTAACACACACACACACACCAAAAAACGGGCATGCAGCCCATCCTTGTTCTATGCGTCACCCTATATCAGTCCCATTCAACCTACACTTTCTATAATATTTCATAGGTACTAGTACATCATTATATCAACCAGAAAAACAATATTACACCATAATTTGTGCAAAATGCGAATACCAACCTGCCCTCTAGTTCCAGCTCTATTTGCCGCAAAAGGTTTTTTAAAAATGTCGTAAAATACCAGTTCCCCCTCACTTCACAGTGCAGCAGCGCCGCCTAGCGGGATTAAGTCAAACAGGATGTTTTGGGCGGATGCATGGGGATCATCATGGGGATATATATTCAGTGTATTACCAATCCCTTCTACCAATCTACTAGTTGTAGGTTCTCGGCCACCTTTCTACAAAGTATGAACCGTCAATAGAAAAGCAACACATGTCTCAGGGTATGTCTTTCCAACAGAAATGGAAGTAGGTATTAGTTATTACGGACGTGCATCTGCTTGAAGAGTGCATCTAGTGACCTTTGAACTGTGCTGCCTCGAGCTCCTGCACTGGGGCAAAGGTAACTCACGAGGTCGGAATCAGCTGTCGCTGAAAACAACAGAGAAAATTTAGGCATGGAGTTTGGGGCGAAGTGTCGGGAAGACCATTACCTGTTTGAGGATGGCACGGCCATGTGTAACCACGGATCGTATGGGGCTGTCCCTCGGAAAGTGATGGAAAAACAACAAAGGTAGGTCGATGCCACGAGTTCGTTTGTGCAAGAAGGTGTGTATGTTTGTGGTTTAGCAGTTGATAACTCAAGAAACTTTTGATAGATTGTTATAACACGTGTTAGGTGGGTAGGTCTAACCGTGCTGGAGCCCTCAACCAATTGAGGTTTGCACGTACAGGGAAGAAGAAGAAGAAGAAGAGGTCTTCATGAGACCTAGAAATGATTAGAGGTTGGGTCCCCTGGCGGCTTTCCTGGGCACTGCAGCAGACAATATCTCATTTTGATATCTCATGATCTAGACATACTAGGGTCACGAATTTTGGAGGGTAGGTAGCTCTTGAGCTAGGGAAGAAGTGACATTTGGGCCCCCTAGCGGCTTGTTCTGAAACTGCAGGGCAGTTTGTTTGAAAGTCTTCAAGGGAGGATAACTCAAGAACCAGCTGATAGATTGTCATGATTTTCAGTACGTAGGTAGCATAAGTGAAGCTTGACATGTAAGTTAATAATAGATGATGATTATGATTCAGGAGCTAATTTGCATAATTAATGAGGAATAATACTAGGCCTATGGAACTCTTGTGACATATGAAAAAGAGGTAACATCAGAATATATAGATTATGAAAATAAATATCTAATTTGCATAATTGATGGAAAATGTCAGAATTTGAACACTCAGTCTGTCCTTAAACTAATGTAATATACTAGTAACGTTACATGTATGTGCAGTGCAGTGACTTTAAAAATCCGAACCTATTTCATGAGACATTGTGTGTAACATTTTAAATAAAACTTAGGCCACACCGACTTAATTCTATGGATGACATTCGCGTGCGCATTGATTTTCACCTGTTCTCAGTCAAAAAAAAAAGTCCTCTGAGACTCTGGCCTGGCTCTAGGCCATGGTAGTTAACGAAAATATGGAGCTGGTGGTAACTCTGGAGGATGGCACCCAGGCTGCCGAAGCTCCACGACTCAAGAACTCAGTACCTCAATGTACAGTGCCGATTCATAAATTCTGCAAAAAGCCGGCTTGTCGCAGCATAAGTTGCTATGTACGTATACCAGTACTGCCGCAAGTTCACAATACCAACTTTGCATTCCTGTGATTTAGTAGCATTTTTATTTTTGGCCTGAATTTTTTTTTTATTTGCCCACGCGCACAATTTTACATGTACATGTAGGGGTCAAAAGAATTGTCATCCATAAAATTAAGTCAGTGTGGCCTTAACTGAACTGAACTGATCCTCAGCCTGCAGCTCTCTATGGAGCGGACGCCAGATCGTTGGTTCCGGGAAACTACTCCTCGACTCTTCCAGGAATCTATCTCTGCTCTGGCAGAGTTTACAGGGGCGAAGAAGGAAAACCTCATGTTCATACAGAACCCTACTACTGGTGAGTATTGTGTGTATGTGCTGTATATCTCTTCCACCCCCAGTCGCGACAGCCAGCATGGCAGACAGCAGAACCGACCATTGAGACTGTTGAATGTCAACTTCCAGTCAGCCTCTGGTAAACCTGCAGAGATTGCAAACATGCTACAAAGTACCAAACCTGATGTCGTGTTCGGATCAGAAACCTGGCTCAACCCATGTATCAAGACCCCAGAGTTCTTTCCTGATGGCTTCAATGTCTATAGGAAAGACCGCGTTGGCAAGCGCGGTGGTGGAGTTCTCATAGCAGTCAGAGATCATCTGCAGTGCACAGAGGTCCCCGAGCTTGACTCTGGCGGCGAGATGCTCTGGTTGAAATTACTTACACGCAACCAGCGACCACTTTACCTCTGCGCGTTCTATCGCCCTGACTCCTCCGACCAAACTGCCCTTGAAAAGCTCGATACAGCATTGCGCAGAGCCGCAGCGATGAAGAACGCCCAACTGATTATCGCCGGCGACTTCAATTTCCCATCATGGGACTGGGAAACCATGACATTCAAACCAAACCCGGCCCATACAACACTTCACCGCCAGTTCGTCGACCTACTGTACGACACAGGCTTAGACCAGATGGTACTGGAACCAACGCGTGGCGAAAACACACTAGACCTGGTACTCACAAACTGCCCATCCCTCATTCCCCGTGTGGAAGTCATACCGGGCATCTCTGATCACAACATAGTGTATTTCGAGTTTAAGACCAAGCCTGATGCTCTGCAGAACGCCAAGCGCACTATCTTCCTCTACGGACGCGCCAACTGGGACTCCATGAAGGAAGACATGATAGCACTACAGCAGGACTTCCGTGATTTGAAAGACATTCCAACAGAAAAACTATGGCAGATGTTCAAGTCAGCTTTGAAGGACAGTATGGCCCGACATATTCCAACCAAGAAGCCAAGGCGCAAAGAATCCCTTCCATGGATGACCCCAGATATCCTTCGGCTCATCAGAAAGCGTAACAGGCTCTACAGGAAGATGAAGAAAAGTGGTTGCCAGATCACTCAGAAGGAAGTCAAGAATCTGAATAGAGAGATTAGAAAACTGATGCGACGCTCCTACTGGAGATACACTGAGAGCCTCTTTTCCCCCACCAGCTCAGAAGAAGGCTCTAGACCCAGCCAGAAGAGATTCTGGACCTACATGAAACACCAACGCTCCACTACCACTGGTGTACCTGCTTTGAAGTCCAACGGGAAGCTGATCACGGATCCCAAACAGAAAGCCGAGTTACTGAACAAACAGTTCTATACTGCATTCAGTGAAGGCGCCATATACTCAGCAGCAGAGTTCAGAGAGCGGTGCTCGCTACCTGACTCCCGTGATGACTTTCCCCCCATGGAAGACATCAAGATCAGCACCTTTGGCATTGAAAAGCTCCTGACTAGCTTGAACCCCACTAAAGCGGCAGGCCCAGATGGCATCACCCCACGAGTGCTTAAAGAACTTGCCAAAGAACTTGCCCCGATCCTTACCAAAATCTTCCAGTCATCACTATGCGCAGGCCAAGTACCCCAAGATTGGAAGGAAGCGCTGGTGACCCCAGTGTTCAAAAAGGGAGAGCACTACAAGGCGTCTAACTATCGCCCTATCTCCCTCACCAGTGTCCCTGCCAAAGTCCTAGAACACATCCTGGTCAGTGCAATCATGTGCCACCTGGAGTCGAATAACATCTTGTCAACGCAGCAACACGGCTTTCGCAAGCACCGCTCCTGTGAGACGCAGCTTCTCGAGTTTACTGAAGAAGTTTCTTCAGCTATGGAGAGAGGTGTTGCGACCGACGTGATTATCATGGATTTCCAAAAAGCCTTCGACCGAGTGAATCACAGCCTCCTCGTACATAAACTGGACCACTATGGGATCCGAGGTCGAACAAACAGGTGGATAGCTAACTTTCTCAGCGCCCGTAAGCAGGCCGTAGTGGTCAACGGTGCTCAGTCAAGTTACGTGAATGTGAGATCAGGCGTCCCACAGGGTACGGTGTTGGGACCGTGCCTCTTTATCACCTACATAAACGACCTGCCGCAGAGAATCTCCTCTACTTCACGTTTATTTGCTGATGACACCGCAGTATACCGCCTGATTACCTGCTCCAGAGACTCTGCAAAACTACAAGAGGATCTGAACAAGTTGGAAGACTGGGAGAGAGAGTGGGACATGGCCTTTCACCCAGATAAGTGCCATCAGTTACCTCTGACAAGAGCCAGAAACCCACAGACTGCCAACACTAGCTACACTCTGCATAACCACACTTTAGAGCGAGTACCCGCCGCCAAGTATCTGGGGGTTACCTTGCAGACTGACTTGTCATGGGGCAAACACATTGACAACACAAGCTCTAAAGCCAACAGAATGTTATGCCTCCTGAGACGGAACCTGAGGGTACGGTCAAGGAAAACCAAAGAGCTGGCGTATAAGGCCCTAGTCCGGCCGATTCTAGAATACGCCAGCTCTGTGTGGGATCCCCACTCAAACCAGAACATAAACAAGCTAGAGAAAGTCCAGCGGAGGGCCGCGCGATTTGTTCTCCATCGTTACAGGAACACCTCCAGTGTCTCTGCCATGCTAGAGCAGCTCCAGTGGCCCACCCTCCAGAATCGTCGCCGCAACAACAGACTTACCATGCTGTACAAGATCACGCAGGGCCTAGCATGTGTAAGCTGTGAAGCCTTGAAGCTCCTTCCTGGTAACAGCACTAGACGCCGCAGAGGCCACAGCCAACAGTACCAACAACTCCCATGTCGTACAAACTACCGACAGTACTCATTCCTTCCCCGCACCATACGCGACTGGAACTCCCTACCCGAGGAGGTTATACAGTCAAACTCCCTGTCTGCATTTGTCTCGCAGTTGTCAAACATCGACTAGACACCCCCCAACGGTGACCTCTGACCCGTTAATCATGTCAATAATGGCCGACAATTCGGCCGATGGACATTAACGGAAGAAGAAGATATGTGTGTGTACATGTACATTTGCGTTTATGCATAATGCGTCAAGCATTTGAGCATAATGCGGAACACGTGAAAAACGCAACAGAATGTTAACATTGACGTGTCAGCCATACTGTATGTATGTATGTCAAAACTATGTACATGTGTATTTGTATGAATATATATGAGTGTGTACAGCGTCTTGTGTTACAATAATTGATAGTTGCCACCCGTTGCCCCTCCAGCTGTGAACTCTGTCCTGAAGTCCTTCCCGTTCGGCCCCGGTGAATGCCGTGCTGGTGACTAACCTGACCTACGGAGCCGTCCGTTTCACTGCAGAAACAATCCACACCTGCGCCTCCAGGTAAAGCCCTTCCAAATGTAGAGCAGCCGGAGAAAGGTGTAGAATTCTCGACAGAAACCGAAACAGACTCAGAGTATTGTCGTGCCGGGCATAGCTTCTTTATTTTCAGATGTTCTCCTCTCCGCTGCCTCTACCGTCTGTCTCACTGAGACCACTGTGTCTCCTTCCATACAGCCCTGCTCACCTTGACACTAGATAGATGGCCTACATATATGGTTTTCTGATAACAAATCGCTGAGGTACGAGTTCTTGGAACAGTGTAAACAAACACCGGTAGTTAATCTTTAAGGTTGCATGTGCATGAGTCAGCTTGTCCTGACGAAGTTAATTATTATGTCCGTCCACACATGTCCACACATGTCCCTCATGTTACACTAACACTGCCAAAGTCTACTGTTTGGTTGCGCCAGGCGGTTTCGAAATGTTTAGAACAATCAGGAGTAGAGGTTGGGCCATGATTGGCTTGTGGTTGGTTGGTGTTGGGGAGTAGAGCAGCAGTGTCAAAGTTGACTCAAATATAACTCAAAGTTGATTTGATCCA